CCTTGAACTCACAGAGATCCAGAGGGATTTCTATCTCTGGAATGCTAGGATTAAAGGTGTGAGTGCCACCATTTTCTAGCCTTTGTATTTAGTGGCTGTCTGTTCTCTGACCCCAGATAAATTTATTAGAGTACACAATACCACCACATATATACATGAAGACAAAGCACTTGTATAATAAAATAATCAATATGAAAATATTTTAAAGTACATTTATTTCTATTTGTTCTCTTGAAATATGATTTTAACCAATTTAATTATCTTTTTGTAATAGAATTATACATAAATTTTGCTTTCATTTGCTTCTTCATAATAAAAATACATTGCTTTTTAAAGTTTTAGACTCTAGACACAGCTGCCTTTGAAGCTTTCTTCAGTGCCAAGTCAGACATGGTGAGGCACACCTGTTGTCACAGCACATGGGAGGTAAAGATTAGGAATTCAAGGCCCACCACGGTGACACAGATTGTTCGAGGTTAGTCTAAGGTGTTATGAAAGAAAAAAAGAAAGGGAGGGAGGGAGGGAGGAGGAAGGGAGGAAGGAATTCTAACTTATTTAATTAAAATTAACAAACGACCCTAGTACACAAGAAGAATTGTAGTCTTGGAGTTGGGATTTCCAGAGGAGCCAATTTTATTATCTAAGTGTATATGTTCAATGACATTTATTTCTTTAAGGTGACCAAACTATTTTTCGTAAAACCAAAGCACAGCAAAGAATTTCACTCGCAACTTTGTGTGTGTTGTAAGTGCAAGCCTGCACTGCCACAAAGGCGAGGGTGGAGGTGACGACAACTCAGGGGTTGGTTCACCTTGTCTGAGACAGGTTCTGACCCCCTGCTTTGTGCTCAGGCTAACTGGCCAGCGTGTTCCTAGGGCTGCCGCATCTCACTGGAGGAGCGAGCACTGGGATTACGGGCACACACTACCTCATCTGGCTTTACACGGGTTCTGAGAACAAACTCAGTCCTCACGCTTGTGTAGCAAGCACTTTACCCACCAGGCCATTTCCCCAATCCCTAGGCATTTTTTATCGCACTTATATGATTCAATTTCTCACCTCTCCCCTTTTTCGAGAGAAAGCTATGTCTGATTCTTTAGGCTAAATATTTAATGTTAAGTGTTTTCTATTTTATTTATTTCAAAGTTAAGGAGCTAGCTACAGAGATGGCTCAATGGTTAAGAACACTGCTGCTCTTCTAGAGTTCAGTTCCCAGCACTTACATCCACTGCCTGTAACTTCAGGATTCAACGTCCTCTTTTGGCCTCTATGGGCAGCTGCACATATGGGACACGGACACACACACACACACACACACACACACACACACACACACACACAAAAAAAAACTTTTTTTGTTTGGTTTTGATTTTTAAGACAAGGTCTCACTATGTAGCTCTGACTGTCCTGGAACTCACTCTGATCTGTAGATCAGAACTCAAAGAGATTCACTCACCTCTGCCTCTCAAATGCTGGGATTAAAGTCCTGAGCCACTATGCCCAGCCCCACACACATTTTTTTAATTAATCATTCTTGTTATTTTTTTTAAATAGGCCTGAAAGGGAGGAGAAGAAATAAGTGGGCTAGAGATGGCAACAGTTAAGAGCACTGGCTGCTCTTCCAGAGCTCTTGAGTTCAATTCCCAGCAACCACATGGTGACTCACAACCATCTATAATAGGATCTAATGACCTCTTCTAGCATGCATAAAACAAAAATGACTAAAAGTATTTGCACACATTTTTAAAAAAAAAAAAGGAAAAAAGTTGGCCTCCTTGGTACACAGCTCGGTGGACTCAGAGGTAGAATGCCTGCCAAGCATGCATGAGACCTTAGGTTCAATCCCAGCACTGAGAAGAACAGAAAAGAAGCCAGGCAGTGGTGCTACATACCTTTAACCCCAGCACCCTGGAAGCAGAGCAAACTACATCATACTCATTTAGCAAAACGTTAGTAATAGTTTCCCTGCTGGAGCCTACATCTTTCCTGGCCACAAGTTTTCACCCTGGCATACAGTACTAAATGTGTGCCCCTTCCTGTGAAACAGACCTTAAATACAATCAAAATTGTTTACATCCATAATGATTGTACCACTATTGTACCAGTCAGTGGGCACATCTTGCCTGTCATGTTGCTAGGGTAGCACACAAGACTCACAACTGACTGTTAAACAATTCTCTCCAGCAGTCTGCACGGTGTCTTCTGATACTACAAAAGCAGGGAAGGAGCTGCCCTTCCTCTCTCAGCTTTATTTCCCCGTGTTCTGCAACCCAAGAATGCAGTATGTTCAGAAGTACTTTTACCATGTAGTTGGCACAGAGCCAACAGCAGTTGCAAGAGCTGCCTTGTTTGTGGGGTATCATGGGCCTCCCTGGCTAACAAAATCTTATGGTCTAAGTAACCTTTTCCAAAACACACAATGTACCTTCTGCATTTAAACTCCCTAGCTGATATTTTCACATCTAAAGGCACACACTCCTGTAAGATTTTCTCAGTCACCTGGTTGAGTTGCAAGTGTACCTTACCCAACCATAAAACTCCCAGGACCTCACAGCTATGCCCTGTTGTAGCAGGAATCTTAAAAGTTCTTATTAATAAAAACGAACCCAGGGCCAGGTATTGGGGTGAACACTGGAAGATCAGAGAAACAGAACAAGCCACAGCCACCTCACCTTGCCAATTCCTCAGCTGATCCTGTTTCCTCAGACTGAAGCCTCTGAGTCCTTATCCGAATGGGTCTCAGCTGAACTGCTGCTCGAAAGCCTAAAAGCTTAACCAGCTTATCCAGGCTAGTTCCTGGTCTTCACCCCTTATATACCTTTTTGTTCCCTGCCATCACTTCCTGGGATTAAAGGCATGAGTCACCATGCCTGACTGTTTCCAGTGTGGCTTTAAACTCACAGAGATCCAAATGTATCTCTGCCTCCCAAGTGATAGGATTAAAGGCGTGTGTGCCACCATTTTCTGGCCTTTATATCTAGTGGCTGTTCTGTTCTCTGATCCCAGATAAGTTTATTAGGGTGCACAATATTTGGGGGAACACAATATCACCACACCCTGTACCATGTGCACACACTGACTTCCCATCCTTGCTCCTTCAGGTGTACCTGCACACATTTAAGCAGCTTTTCTAAATCTGTAAGCTATTCAAAGGGGTTAGCAATATATACTGAGCCCTCTTCATAGAGGGCAAGCTGGGTCTATGAAGCCCTAATCGTTTTTTGCTTGCACTGTTCTTTCATTTGTTTCTGTTGTTGTTGTTGTTGTGACCCGTGTAGCGGATGAACTGTTGTTGTTTGGGCTTAAAAGCCTTCCATGGGTTTAAAAGCACCAAATTTGGTTTCTTGTTTTTTTTTTCCCTAGATACTTTGTCTTGATACAAATCTTGTCTCTGTTTTTTTAATTTTTTTAATTCTCATCCCTCTTGATCACTTCTGTACTTTACAAATCCAAATTATATGCCAACCTAAGCTACACAGATCCACCAGAGCCTCTTTAACCTCCTCCAACTCACCATGGAGTCTAGCAAGATCACCAACACCCACACACACCCATGTTAGCACCAAGGTTCCTCCATCTCAACTATGAGGAAAACACAGCTAAGCAGCTTGGTGAACTGGGCCTTATGCTTGTTCCCTTGTTCTCATCTTCACCTCACTGTCCAGTTAGGCACTGTTAGATTATTTTAATGGGTTCCAAAATTTTGATGCCATAGGAAGCTACTTAACACAGATATAATCTGTACCTCTTTTCCTTCCTCCTCATCACACCCCATCTTTAAGAAAAGATAAACCAGAACCTCCTTCTCATGGGCACATCAGCGGCTGGCATATGCTCTCCCACCAGTGAACCAACTCTTGTGAGGACCTCACACAGCACAATGGTTCTGATTTCAAGACAGCAACAGCCATGTCATGCCTAGAGGACAGCTTTCCACAACACACACACACACACACACACACACACACACACACACACACACAGAGAGAGAGAGAGAGAAAAAGACAGAGAGAATATATTCATTCTGCTTTTATATATTATTCATTTTATACTCATACATATACATACATTGGTATTTATCTTATATATGTATATTTAAGGACTTAAATGTAATACAGTTTTAAGTGAAAAATGATTGGCCAAGTGTGGTAGTATTCACACCTTTAATCCTAGCACTCAGAATGCAGAGGCAAGCAGTTCTCAGTGAGTTCCAGGCCAGCCTCGCATACACAGCAAGTTCCAGGCCAGTCAGGGCTACGAGGGACTAAACTTTTTTAAAGACTGTTAGTTCTTGTAATTCAAAGAAGAAATCCTGACAATCTAGTCTCTAAGCAAGGACTATGATGCAAACTGATTGGTTAGGCACTGTAGTAGCATGAATGTAATTGGCCCCCATTAAGCTCATTAGGAGTGGCACTATTAGGAGGTATGGCTTTGTTGGAATAGGTATGCTCTTGTTGGAGGAAGTGTGTCACTGTGGGGGTGGTCTTTGAGGTCTCATATATGCTCAAGCCACACCCAGCGTTCCAGACCATATCCTATTGCCTGCAGATATAGCTCCTTCTCCACCCTCAGAATAGGACTGACTAGACACATACTAATTACATGTCTGCCTGCATGCCACCATGTCCACCATGATGATAATAGACTAAACTGCTGAAAATGTAAGCTACCTCAATTAAATGTTCTCCTTTACAAGAGTTGCCATGGTCATGGTGTCTCTCCACAGCAATAGAAACCCTAACTAAGACAGGTACTCTCCCTAAATCAAATCTAGGTTTAATCTTTGTTGATAGGTAAGTTTTCAAACTGAAGTAGGAAAAATATCAGGCATGCTACCACAGTCTCCACTGAACTCTATGTTATGGTTCCTTAACAGAGGTAAACGAACCAAGATGACAGAATCTATCTTACTCAACAAAGCTTGCCAACTGTCAGGAGAGAAGTGAGTTAACATGATCATCAGGTGTGCTTCTGCAGATAGCCATAATTTCAAAATACTGTAGAAACAAGGAGGGTTTAGATTTAGAATTTCGGCAGGAATCCAAGTTGTAAAGGCAGCCATTCCAATGTTCTAATGCTTCCTGAGGACACATATGCACTAAAAAGGATGACAGAAGGGCCAGAGCAAATGCCCTAGCTAATCATGATACATGATCCTGGGCTCTGTAATACCCCAAAAGCCAAATCTTTTGAGAGATTTGTAAAGGCTATTTTGGAATGCTCACAACTGGCTCCATGCTATAAAGAAAATGTGATAGTAAATTACATAAGGAATCTCTTTCGGGACACTTTCAGGACAAACACTTGGTGGCACCAGAGGACCTTAGTGGGATTTCTTAAAACATTTACATGAGATGACCCATCAGAATAGGACTGACTAGACACGTACTAATTACAGCACTAATACAAGTTTTGCTAAGACTGCTGAAGGCTGTCCTTGCTATACTTCCTGCGTCAGTAGAACCCGCCTGATTAAACTGTCCCTCTTGTAGATCCTTAGCCTCAGTTCCTGTAAACGGCTTCCTAAAATTAACCCTACAATGGATTCTGACTGTGTTCTCATCAGTGCCTACTTCTTCCCAGGATGGACTGAAACTTCTTGCCATGGAGCTCCAGTTCTGAGGGTAAAAAGAATTTCTTGGTGCTGTGTTTCTAAACAGGTTCTCTAGTGACGTTTTACCAGCAATTTTATTAGAAAACCTTGTAAACCCTTGTCATTAATTCAGAAACTCACTGTCTCCATCATCTGTAGTCTTAAGGAAAAACAGAGTCAACAACATGTCAGTGCTATAACACTGTCATGCTCTGTAAAACGAATCTTAAAATGGTCTTATTAATAAAAAACCCAGAGTCTGACAGTGGGGTAAATGCTGAAAGGTCAGACAGACAAAGGAACAAGCCATAGCCACCACTTCTTATCTCACCAACTCCTCAGCCTGAAAAAGCCTCTAGTTCCTGTCTCCTCACGCCTTATACATCTTTCTCCATCACTTCCTGGCATTAAAGATGTGTGTGTTTCCCAAGCAAAGGCTTGAGATCTCAAGTGCTAGGACTAAAGGTGTGTGCCACCACTGTCTGGCTCTGTTTCTCTCCTAGACTGGATCAATCTCATGTAGTCCAGGGTGGCTTTGAACTCACAGAGATCCAGACAGATCTCTGCCTTCCGAGTGCTAGGATTAAAGGTGTGTGCCACCACTGCCTGGCATCTATGTTTAATCTAGTGGCTTATTCTGTTCTCTGATCTTCAGGCAAATTTTATTATGGTACACAATATATCACCAAAATGCTCTCCCACTGCCTCCAACTTCTAAGACTGTGATGTCCACATGCTCTACAGACATTGGCTTTAACCACACAAACTTGTTAGACACTGCCCTATAAAACTGGCTATTTCTCCCCTGATTTGAGGCATTTCCTTACTTCAGACAAACCTAGTAAAGTACTCTAAGGAATACATAAAATGTGTTTAAAAATCATATCAACACTGAATGTTAGCACATTTCTCCTACATGACTTAAAACTCAAAGATATCGTCTGGAAATGACTCCAAAGAAATGAGATATTTGGAAGCCATGTTTGAAAAAAAAATTTATCAGTTACTTTGGTTTTAGCACAATATCTAAACTCCAGCGCATAAATCTTTGGATCTCCTAATTGAACAGATATTAGTTTTTACTCTCCAATACCTAGATTTCTATGCTACCAAGAAATTTAAAACTAGAAAATGCTAAGAAAATTGTAAAAAAAAAAAAATCAGCAAGATAAATATATAATACAGACAGTCTTTATTCCTGGGCCTACAGAGTTAGATCTAGATCTGGAGTCAAGAAACCAGAATCTGCCTGGCACAGTGGTATATGTCTTTAATCCCAGCAGTAAGAGGTAGAGGTAGGTGAATCTCTGTGAGTTCCAGGTCAGCCTGGTCTACAAAGTGAGACTCGGGCTGGGTGGCGGTGGCACACACTTTTAATTCCAGCACTCGGGCAGCACAGCCAGATGGATCTCTGTGAGTTTGAGGCCAGCCTGGTCTACAGAGCGAGTTCGAGGACAAATATCAAAACTATACAGAGAAACCCTGTCTTGAAAAAAAAAAAGTGGGACTCTGTCTTAAAAAAAAAAAAAAAAAGGCTAGAAGAAACTATGACCTGCAGACCATTAGCTGTAAACTAAGAATTGTTTTCACATTTTTAAATAGTTGCAAAGAGAAACCCAAAAAAGGAATAACATACTCACTCATCCACGACTACCCATGGCTGTTAGATAGCTGTCATGGAAGACTATCTGGTCTACAAGTCTGAAATACTTACAGTACGGCTCTATACACAAAAAGCATGTGCACTCCTAATCCAGATCAACAGAGTCACCAACTGCAGTGCTTAAGAGGTTTTTAACCTTTATACATGCCTAACTATTTGATTTCCTCTTTGTTGACAGCCCAGAACCTTAAATGAGTAAATGCACAGTATTTCTTAGATTATATCTCCAATCATTAGCCTCAATATTGCTTTCCGAATTCTTGGCCACCTGCGGGATGAGTCCAACAATGGACTGAAATTGTGATTTGGAGATGGTTTTTGTTCTCTTGGTTTAAATTGGTGCTCTTAGCTACTGATTTAGGATAATCAGTAATAATTATTTTTAACTTGGCATTTTTTCATGTTGGTATGGAATGGATATGGAACTGTTTTATAGATATTGTCCTATCTAATGAACTAACAATCAAAAAAGACAGGAAATATATATAGAATATAAACAGACATCACCAGGATCACTCATACATGCTACTATGACTTCATAAAACAGTGTAGATTTGATTTATACATCCTAAATAATAATAGTCTCCTCTCTGGGTCAAGTTGAAGAAGGGGGTGAGAACTGAGAAATGAACTCACTTGAATAAAAGAACAGAACATTCAAAACTAAGAGGTTCTGAGAACACCAGCACCAATACTAATTTGTTTGTGTCAGAAAACCTGTGCCTAGTAGTTATTTTCATAAGAACATTTAAAAAAATAAGAAAACTGCCAGTGTTTTGGACCAATGCAAAAGCTTTAAGGTACTTGTTTACTTGGGTAAAACACCTAGTTTATAAATAAATAAATAAATACTTCATTCTCAAAACTAGCTTCAAGATCCTCATGTTGCTACCCTGATCTATCTTAAAATATTGCATCACAAATTTTTCAATCCCAATCAGCCCAACTTAAAATTATCCACCTAAAGGCATTTGAGCCTATACAAACCCTCTCTATATTCTCATCCTGATATGCCTCTTTTGAAACCTTGAGATTATAAAATGTTCAAACTACAATGAGTTCTAATAAATACAGCTGTTTTTAACAGGTTGTTTAATGATATTCTAGTCAACACAGCACAGTAATTTTCACACTGCTAACACTGTGGACAGTTTCTTCATTTATACAAGTTTGTAAAGTACTATAGGAATCTGGCCTTATTTTTCTCCCACTGACACCCAGTTTTAATACTATTTATTAAATAATCTATTCTTCCTTGTTGACTTAAAAGCTAATTCTATCATTAATTAAATTACCATATGTATTTGGCTCTGTTTCTGGATTGTAGTATGGTATGTCTACAGAATACATTTTGATATATACAACAAAACTATTTTAACTTTTAAATATTTGTGTGTATATGTATATGCGTATGTGCATACACATGTGTAGAGGTCACAGGCATGTGTAGAGGGAGTGGGAGGATTGAACTCAAGCATTGGACTTGGTAGTAGGTACCTTTACCAGCTGAGCCATCTCACTAGCCCTATTTAATTATTTTATAGCTTTATAATATGTTTAAGGATCAAAGTGCCACTACATCATTCTCCTTTTTCCTCCTATTACTTTCCAGGCTATTCCTCTATGTTTATACAAGTCTTGGAATCAGCCTAAGTACTCCCAAACATGCTCTTGGTATTTTAAAAAGAATTACATTAAACCCCATCCAAGGACTGAGGGATATGGATACAGAGATCCACCACTAGGCCCCAGGTGGAGCTCCGGGAGTCTAATTAGCGAGAAAGAGGAGGGTTTTTATGATCGAGAATTGTTGAGACCAAGGTTGGATAAAGCACAGGGACAAATAGCCAAACAAATGGAAACACATGAACTATGAACCAAAGACTGAGGGGGCCCCCAACTGGATCAGGCCCTCTGAATAAGTGAGACAGTTGATTGGCTTGACCTGTTTGGGAGGGAACTAGGCAGTGGTACTGGGTCCTGTGCTCATTGCATGAGTTGACTGTTTGAAACCTGGGACTTATGCAGGGACGCTTGGCTCAATCTGGGAGGAGGGGACTGGACCTGCCTGGACTGAGTCTACCAGGTTGATCGCAGTCCTCGGGGGAGGATTTGCCCTGGAGGAGGTGGGAATGGGGGGTGGGCTGGGGGGAAGGGGAGGGGGGCAGGAGGGAGAACAAGGGAATCCGTGGCTGATATGTAGAACTGAATGGTATTGTAAAATAAAAGGAAAAAATAAATTTAAAAAAATGAAAAAAAGCAAGTAATAGTTATAAATATTTTACATTGATATGGATTTTTGTATATTGATACAAATTTAAGGTTATTTTGGTTAAAACATACTGCACATACATTAAAAAATTACATTAATTTTTTAATATACTGAATTACTGAATTTTATTTTTTTTAATGTGTTTGAGTTTTTTGTCTGAATGTATGTCTGTAGATCATATACATGCCTAGTACCTGTGGGGGCCAGAAGAGGGCATTGGATCTCCTGGAACTGGAGTTACAAACAGTTGTGAACTACCATGTGGATACTGGGAATTAAACCTGGGTCCTCTAGAAGAGCAGCCAGTGCTCTTAACCAATGGGCCACCTTTCCAGCCTCTCCTATTCTGAATTTAATACTGTTGATTCTTCCTATCTAAAAATCAGATATAGCCAGGCACATCTGAAAATCCCTGTAGTCTCTGCTACTCAGAAAGCTGAGGTAAAAAGATCACCTGAGCCCAGTCATTCAAGACCAAAGTGGACAGCAAGACTTAGTCTCAAACAAACTCAGAAACCAAGCACGACTTATAGTTAAAAATCTATGCAAAGTTCAGTTTTCACTTAGTAGTCACCTGTTTTCTCTTTGTGTGGACAGGACTGTAGGTCTGTCCCTCACATAATCCTGCCCTGGTAACTCCCATATTCTGTACCACCATGTGAGCCAGACTTACCTTAAAATTTCCCATTATTTCTAGTCAGATTTCAACTGTCATTTGAATTGTTAATATGAGACATTACCCCTAAGAAGGAGAAGCATCAACTTAATCTTTGCTCTTTAGGTGTTAACTGTACTTTGATGGAAAGGCATAAGAAGTGTTACCATGAATGCATTAATGGAGATAAGATTGCAAATAAAATCACAACGTATACTTTTTCTGTTTGGTTACGTGATATACCACCCTGCGGAAACATGGGCCTAGCCCTGAGCTTTCACCACTCTCAAAAACACTCATTCCCTATAACATTTGTTAGATGGAAACAGAAGTTTTCAGCAGAATTGTCCTCAGTGTTATATCAGAAAGCTTAAAAATTCTGAAGCCACAAATACCATTGATTTTGGTGGGAATTGTCATGAGCCCATGTTTCAAATGCTA